AGCCTAACCTACAATTAAATTGTAGATCCTTATAATTTTGGCTATTCAAAATTTAAAAATTAATTTTTTTTTACATTTTCTACAATAATTTCTAATTCGGTTTGAACATATACTTAATTATCTTATACGAAGCAACAGAAATGTTTACATTTCAAGTTCATTTTCCTATTAAAATATTTTAAATTATTTATTTATGAATTTTAATATTTATTAACACATTACTATAAAATTTGAGATTTTATGAATGAAAACTAACAGTATTGAAGATAAGCATTGCATAACTAACAAAACGCATAACTGCTACTGTTCATAAATTAAATTCATCAAACCATAGAAATAAAAAAAAAACAATAAAAAAGAAAGAAAAAAACAAATAATAACAACAATAAAGTTTAAAAAATAAAATCATTTTTTTACGAATATTTAGTGAACTCCAGTATAACCACTGCACAGAAAATGACCATGACCGCAGACACCAATATCGTGGTTAGTAGTTATAGTTGTTTGTGAAAAAGGTTCAAAAAGGACTCAATTTTACTGTTTTTTTTCATTTATTTCTCGTTTTCGATTTTAAAAATCGATTTATGAGATTTTTTTTTTTTGTTTTTGTTGTTTTTTTTGTGAAATCGAAATCAAAAAGCGGAGACATTAAATTTTTTTTTTAAACTCATTATATAATTTAAGCATTTGGAATTGAAGTGTTAATGGTGTTGAATATTTCATATTAATTTTGTAACACCAAAATAATGGAAAAAACACTTACATATATTGTCTTCATACTTGTTTCTTCTTCATTGTTGTGTTTAATAATTAAATTTTTGCCAAAATTGTTATTATAGATTTCAACTAAACGCCTACTCTTCTCTTCTCTGAATTGATGAACGAAATATATTCATTTCCAAATTTCCAAATTTCCGAATTCAACCATAAAATGATACAATTCAGACTAGAACAGAAAAGTTCTGAAAACAATTCAGATTATAACTCCGCATATAAATTTTGGAAGTTTATCAGGATCTAGCACATTAATATGTATTACTTACCCTAGTATAACTAATCTCTAATAGTTGAAATTTTGTAACTTGCAAAAAAAGGCCACTTTCTTAAAATATACATATACCTAATCCTTTGGATATTCTATAAAAGTAACAAAAATTTTAATAAAATTGCAGTTGTCCTTATAGTAAAGTCTAATAATGTTCCCATTTTACAATAATAATATTATAACATGGTGTGGTTTTCAACACCATCGATTTTTAAACCTTTTAGTTATTTTGTTTAACTGTTATATTATTTAAAAATATTATTGGTTAACTAAATGTTCAATCGATGCTGGTCAATGGCTAATAAATTCCGGAAATTATGTAATAATTTCGTTTTAATGATATTTTGTTAAATATTTTTATTTTTATGCGAGGAGAAAAGTTATTATCAAAGTAATTACAATAATTTTTTAACGTTTGAATTAATTTTTTTCCGCTTAAAAGGTGAAAAAACAATAAGGTGTAACCAATAAATTGAATTTTTGTTTTTTATTATGTTTCTGTTTAATAGAGAATTTAATAAAGTTGGTGAGAAGTTTTTATTGAAAATAATAAATTAAAAAATACAAAATGAGGAAGAAAATCGTGTGAATTTCATATTGTATAGGTGTAGGTATTCCAAAATCAATGGCCTAATTTTATTTAATTTAAAAATAACAAAAGGAAAAAAAATATTAACAACAGAGGGGTTAATAAAATTCACATATTGCACATGAAATTGCATATAACGTTATATTTCGGATTGAAGCGAACTTTTGGGGCATAATAATAATATAAAAACAAGTTTTTAAAATAGAGCTTTTGTACACAGGAGTAAACTTCAAACAAAAGTATAAAATACAGGTGATAGAATTTTTTTATATTAGAACTATTATAAAAAGGAACGCGTTTGAAATCTTGCAGATTTTTGAGATGTTTCGCAAACAAGCTGAATACAAACTTAATCGTAAAACAATATTTTTAATAAATGACTGTATATAATCTAAACTAGTTTAAAACCAGAATAGAAACACTCTGTGTTAATCGTATGAATGAATGATTCTAATAGTTCTCGATTATTGGAAAACTGTTTCATATCTTCGTTGTTTTTTGTATAGACGTTCCGTAATTCATATAGTTCATTTGAAATGTAGCGTTGTGACTTTAACAAGTTCTGAAATGTCTCTACTATACTTCTGATGGGATAGCTTTGGAAATTATAAGGCAGCTATCACAAGACCTCATGCAGGAATGATCAAATCAACTTAGAATGCGACGTTAAGTAAAATGAAATATGTATATGAACATGTCTATATCTCAGATCGTTATTTCTCCGCGTAACATTTATGACAATGTAAATTCACAATGTTTTATCAATTATTTAGTAATGACAATATCAAAGAATTGTTACGAATTTGCAATTGTACAACATTTGCAGCAAAGATACATTGAACTTTCTTCATTTATTTGGTTAATTTATAACTGAATTACTGCGCAAATGAATTATAATAAAGCTAATCTCAGGTGAATCTTGAATGCTGAGAAATTCAATAATAATTTATTTGAAATTGTATAATCTAGAATTCATTTTTAAATAAAGTACAATTCGTATGGTACAATTTTGAATAACTTATTCGAATATGACGACAATAACGTCACCAATAACGCACTCAACAGTATTTTCCAAAGTTAAAGTCGGTATCGGTTGATCGATATAAATTTCATATAGCTCGAACTAAAAATAATCTGGAGCAATCAAACTGCATCATCTCGGCCATCAATCGGCAGCTCTTAAACATGAAATTAATTGTCGTACACATTCATGATTATAATTTTTATAACATTTCTTGCGAGTGTTGCGTAAATTGTCAAAAATGAAAACATTACCAATTCATAAAATAAAAATGTGTACATACATATATGAATACACGTCATGCATATAAGCGCCATAATGTATGCAATTTTAATAAAAGTTTTATAATTTTTTTGTAAGATTTGAAACTTCTTATTTTATAATTGAAAAGACGACGAAACCACATAATTTTTTCTTTTTGTCTTGATCAGGTTAATCGCTTCAATAAAATTATGTTAGCAATAATTAATAAACATGGGAAAAATTATGGAAAGTTGTAAATTTTGCATATATTTTTTTTAAAATAGCATGCAATTCAATGAAAGCTCGGTCAACTTAACTATAAATTGCTTTTTAATTTTTTTTTTATCATTTTTAGTTTTTATTGCTATGTTTTTTTTTATTTTAGTATGTTGTGTAAAATATTAGTTTGCGGTTAAATTTGTTCTAAAGAATTTATGTGTATATTTTGTAAGAATTCGTGCGATATTTTCTGTTTTCTACTTTTTCATTTTATTTTTTGAATCAAAGTCATTTTCAGAATTATTTCACTCATTTGTTTTTTGTTTTTATTTTGCTACCGTTATTTTGATATCAGGAAGAGAAAATTTTTATTTTTCCTTTTTTTTTTCTGCACTACTCGTATAGTTGAGTGTTAAGAGATTTCAAGTTGGAGTATAAAGAAAATGTTCTGCAATATGCAACGAAATCAATGAATGGCAATTGAAAAAATAAAAACACAAATATAATAATTGAAAAATAAAATTACAATATCCGGTGTAACAATAACAATCAATAAAATATTACGCTTTTTCTTACCTTTCCCTATGCTTTATTATAATGGTAATATTTTTTTCATTTTGTATACGACATCATAAATTTCTCAATGATTTTCCTACTAATTTTCCAATAATTTATTATTTTTGTGGGATTCTTTACATTACAATTTTCATATACTTTTAAAACTTATTATCATTACGAAGCCTTTACTACATGTACTAATGAAAATTACATTAGTATGTATAGAAATTGCTATATGCTTATTATTATTAAAATTATTGAAATAATTTTCACGGAATTTCACTCAATATACAGAAAGTAATGATGTAAATGGAAATTACCCTACACGCAATATATTATGTTAAATGAGTTGTGTATAAAAATAATGACGGTAAATCAGTCAAATAATTTTGATGAAAATTTTTTGAATTATTGAAATTTTTCATTATCATAGCATAATTTTAATTTTTACCCTGTTTTCTCACAAAATTTTTTTTTGTATATTATTTGTATGTGCGGACATAAATCAGATTGTCAATTGAAAATTTTAATTTATATACATTTAATGTGTGTTAATATTTAAATTTCATTGGATTTTATAAAAATTATGTATAATAACGGTGAAGAATTCAATTAAAAATTGTATTAACCATTATAATAGCTGCAGAGTATGCCTTTCATTAATTTTGTTCGATTGTAATAAAAATTGCAAGACTGAGGCATTTTGAAATTCATGGAGGAAATATGATTCTGGGAGAAATTATGGCATTTTAAAAATTTTTTGATCAGTAAAGTTTGTAGTCAATTTAGGCAATTAACGGTAAATTTGCAAGGATTGAATTGGAAATATTTAAACATGATTATATTGTTGTAAGAAGACAGAAAAAATAATTGCCACAACAAGCCGATTACGAAATTATCTACTGCTACAATGCAATAGTTTTTGAAAAATGCTATTTTGATTATACTAAAATTTTATGCGAAGAGGCTAAGTCTAATATTTTATAGTAAGAGAAAACACTAACGTAATGCAATACGGTTATGTGTATCTTACAGAATAGTAGTAATTGTCATTTACATTCAAAATTTCATCTTATTATCTTTGCTGGTGCAGAACTTTAATAATGGAACGAACAAGCGAACTTAGGAAGGAATTAAGACAATGCAAATTAAGAATAATTCTTATTAAAAGAGGGAAACACAGGAACCCAACAACTTTTTTACCAACTGGTACTGAAATTAGGGCATCAACGTTAGAATGGAAGCTCTAAAAGCCAAAAATATTAAAAAAAAATTTTACTTTAATACTAAAATTACAATAATTTCAAATAAATTTTAACACTTACCTTGAATTTGTGGTGCATTTGGTTTATAATCATGGCAATCAGAATTTGTTTCTAATTTTGCATAACTACTATTTGATATCGTTGGATGATGATGATGATGGTGATGATGATGATGATTATTATTTGAGGTAATCGATGATGTTGCGACTAATGAACTTGAATTATTTGATTGTGATTTTCTTCTTAGCGTATCAAATTCTCTAATATGATGTGTTGGAAATGTTGTTTCAAAAAATGGTCTTTGTCCTAATCCCATCGCTCTATATGGATGGCTATTATTTGGACCTGGAAAAATTCCATCAGCTATTAAGAAAAAAGTTACAAAAGAAAAACAAAATAAACAGAAAAAAAATAGTACATAATTTTAAGTTAAATGTTATAGAAATGTTAGTAAAAAGGTTATTAAAAATAATGTTTAAGAATATTTTATTAGATTTATAAAGTAAAGATAAATGTATAGGCAAACATTATAGTAAAACTCTTTATGTTAAAAATTTTTGTATTAAATGCACTCTTTTAATTTTGATTTAATTGTAAGAAATTTAAGCAAACAATTTTTTGGTAAAAGTTAATTGTTTAAGTTCAGTTATGTTATATTGAATTTTATTAGTAATTTTTTTTATTAATTAATTTATTATTACTCAAGTGGTTGAAAACGTCTTTGTGGTGGAAAATGTCGATGCAACCTGCAAGACTATTGCTTCTCGAAACGAAATTTCCTTTTCAATGCAAAATTCTTTCTTTTGCAAAAATCCAAAAACACAAAAATGTACTTAGATTGTTGAGAAAATGTTAAATTCACTCTTCCAATTCCCCAGTTAGAATCTATTCACATTACACTTCAATATAATTAAATACGAACGTATTTCTTTAAACTGTAAGAACGAATGTTCGACAGTTATTATAAAATTAAGTCACTCCGAATGTGACACTCAAAAAACCCTTCTGAGATACTGACATGTATGTATATATTTTGGTTCAAATTCTGAGTCATCTCTGCCCAGATTTCCACAGCTTACCTACTTCGATGCATAAAGGTTTACGTAATAAACAATGTTTTAGCAAAATCTTCAATATTATAAAAAAATATCTGTAACATTTAATTTTTTTTTTAATTTCCATATTGTTTAGTGAGTTCGCAACCTTCATGCATAGTTTATAATTTTAAGGATATAATATTGTTATGTCTATAATGCAAGTAAATGCAAATGTGTGAATGCACATTCATCCCAAAAATAATTTGTACATATAGGTAAATTTTTATGTGTACTATTATTACTTTTAACAGTCAGCTTTAATTTTGTAAAAATAAAAAAAAACAATCAGATTCCAAATTTATTATTAAATTAATAAAAAAAGGATTACATAAAATATAAGAATTGTAATAAAAAACAAAGTGACTCAAAAATAATTTATGCAAGCTTTTGTGCAGAACAGTATGACCCTACAAGGAATTATAGAATCACAATATATTAAAGTAATATAGGTCAGAAAGAAGAAAGCTGGACCACTCAGACCGCCATCCTTTAATTAACCATAATTACATTAAGAAACAGGTAAATCGGATCGACAAACTTGGAACTAGATTTAAGCAGATTGGCATAAATTGAACCTCCAATTCTGTAAAATTCAATAGAATTGTTTTCTTCAGCAGTTTTAAGACGCTAAAGAGAAATAACTTTTATTTCAATTAAAACATTTTTCTTTATTTAATTTTTGTTTCAGAATTCCTTTTATGCAAGAAATTTTTGGGATGACTGTATGTACGTATACTTACGTATATATTAATTTCATATGTCTATACGTAAAGTTATCAAACTTTTAAATTACCTTCCGGTTTTATCTAATATAAAAGCACAGTCAGACTTTTCTCAATTATCAATATTAAAAATATTGAAAATGGTATAGGAAAATTAATGATAAGGATATCAAATATTAATAACTAACATGAGTAAATATGTATGTATATGAATCAGAAACGTAAATTTTATAATTACGTTTTATATACGTGTGCATACTTATAGTTTTTTGAAGCATTCCTGTATTTTTTTTTCCAATTTATTATAAAAATCATCTAAGAGAGGAAATTTGAACTAAATTAACTACTGGCCAACATCCTGATGAGAATGCATTCGTAATGCATTTTACAAATTATTATATTGTTATATAAATGGACATTTTTCTAAATATACTTATTGTATGTATATGCACAACTTCATACAATAGAAAATAGTATGTCTTACAAAGTATTGTACACGTACATTAAAAATACTTGTACAAAAATTAGTATATGATTAGTATATAACAGTATGTTAGATTGTATGTTAGATTGTACTGTTATATTAGTATATAACAGTACATTAGAATGTATGTTTGCATGAGTAGTTTGTACAATTGTATTTATAAAAGGTATAGGTAAAATGTGTGTGTTTTAAATTGAATTTTTTTTCTGGTTTTTTGGTATGTTTCAGAACAAAAATTTTTTTTAATCACAATGCAAAGTTAAAATCAAAAACAGAAGCGTTAAAATCCTTTTTATCCTTAAATAAAAGGATATTTTTTATTACAAAATTTATGTGTTACGTACAACTGTGTATCTTATGCCAAATATGTACATGTTCTTGTATAGTTTTAGGTATATCTGTTTGTTGTCCTTTTTGTAATAATTGCATACCAGAAGATGTTGGTAACATTTTTTGCGTAATGGCTTAAATTTAAAAGTCTTGAATAAGTTGTTTGCTGTTTTGTTTTTTCTGTTTCTTGTTGCATGTAAAATGATATTAACGAATTTGCATTACAACATACATTCATTGAAAACGCGATTAATTAGGCCAAATCATACGCATATGTTACATTATTGTATATTATAAGTATGCAACTAAAGAGTCCTTTTCTTGTCTATGTGCATAATTTCACGTATTTATATAATTTATTATATATATATATACCTATTTACACATTCATGCATTGAATTTTGAAAAATGTAGAAGAAAATGTAAATTACAACTTACATATAGTTTAGACTTTTTGCGTTTTTGTTAGAAATTTCATATGTATGATTTAATAGGATCTAGGATGGAATGAAATTATAAAATAATTTTACTATAATGGAAGTTTTTGAAAGAATTACACTTTAAATTTGATATTTATATACCCTACAATTTTTTGAAGGATTTATGAACTTTGGTATGGAGTTTGTAGCCAATTTAAGGAGTCGCTTGTAGTATGAACATGTATTTATTTTTATGCTCACTGCTCAGCGTAATACTCAGTGTAGATTTAGATATGTCCGTCAATTCACTTATCCGTTCGGAGGATAACTCGAAAAAGAAATGAACAAACATTAACAAGCTTTCATTCAGAAAATGTTCCTTTTTGACAAGAACGGTTGCTATTGAATTTGAATGAATTCGATCAATGGATTCAAGTTGCTAATTTTAAATATCTTAAACGCTTTCACTTGTTTCTTTATTACCTAGATATCGTTTTGCATAGTTGAATGCAATGTTGAACCACATTCCCTGAACATGTTTTTCAATCAATGATTTTCGTAATATTCCATCGAATAAGTTCTTTCTATCGAATTGTTTATTAAAAGGACCTTAAATTAACTGATCTATAGGAGTATTCTAATAATTTTACAATTGAAAAAAAATATCTTTTCGATTTAAACTTGAGAAAGCTGCATAAGAATGCATTTTATAAAGAATTCTAAAACAGTACTATTTATTTTTTGGGTAAAAAATGAAATCCATCCCAATTTATTAAAATTTTTTAAGAAGACAACAAATATTATAATAGAAAATATTATACTTCATCTCCGGCGGAAACAATTTTTAACAAAATAGAACTTAAAACTTTAAATTTTATATGTACATAGAAGATTAATAGAAATACGATTTGAATATTATTATTCTTTGAATTCTACCGATATATTTTAGTCTTTTTATACTATAAAAGAAAAAATACATTTGGAAAATATGGTTCTCTATCAATAATTTACTAATGCATTAAGAATTTGAAGAACAATAATATCGTGTTCTCTATATAAAGAGAATCTAAATTAATAGCGTTCGATTCGTAATATTATCACATATTTGTTCTATTCTTTTCATTTGATTCATCTTTTAAAATCCTATATAGGTAATAGTTAACTTATATACAAGTATATATACATCCATATATAAAGAAAATTATGTTAAGGAACACATGTATGATATTATATACAAAATGCAACAAAACCGGACCTTAAATTAACTGTACGAATTTCAATGATGCTGATAATAATTTACATCTCAAATGCCAATACCATTTCTTGCATCTGTTTTAGAAAATTCATTTAAAAAGAATGTATGGTAATTTCCTATTTTTGACTTTTCAATTTTTTATTGTATAATTTAAAAAAGAAACACAAAAAAAAAAGGATGTCTTTTGCATTTTATTTCAATATCACAAAATATGTAAATGTTTTTGTGTCTATGAATATTTGAGTATAATGTGGATAATATTATGCATTGTGTAGGATCAGATTTTATAAAAGAAAATTGCAGGACATTTTTGATTAGTATTGCAAAAAATTAAATAAAATATTATGTGTGTCTGTGTGCACAGACTTTTAATTTATAAGTAAATTATTGGTAAGAACATATACAGGAGCAGTGTGTAGGCATATTATTGTTCCTTCTGTGAGAATTGTACCTAAGTAAATTTTAGGCTATAAGTAATATAAAATTATGAATAACATGACAATATAGGTACACTATCAAACAAAATTGAATGAATGCATGATATAAGAACGGACAATCACAATGAATTTTTGTAAAGTTTCAAGTACTTATATTTTCTTTTTGTCTCTAAAAAGTTGACTGCGAAACTTTATGGAGTAACGTGATGCTATTATAGCGAATTCCGAATTCGATTCGATGAACAATTAATATAAAATGCAATTTATTTTATACTAATGTATCTTATCTTTCTGTGTCCAAAATTATTCCATATAAATTTTTGGATGGTGAACATTATTTGTTAACTATAACGGCATTGTTTTAAATAACCATTTTGTTTAAAAAATTAGGCATTAGAAAATAGTTGGTATGAGACCCTCTTATAGCTTTAAAGTAATACCTTTAAAGTAATACAGCGTTAGTTTTTTTAATGTAGTTCATGCTGTCACTGAAAAACAACAGTTTCCATTTATTTTAACTAGTTTAAATCAATTTTTTCAATGCTTTCAAATTATAAAGAAATTAGTAAACATTTTCAATTGGTAAATCTCCAAAAACGTTATTCCGGTTCCAACTAACTCTTTGGACCCGGCTGGTACACACATGTACCAGTAAAGTCCAAACACCCCTTAAAGTTAAATATGATTTTGTATTTGGTTCTCTGAGGTACCATTTCGTTTTTACATGATTTGGCACATTGAATTTTAACTTTAGTCATTACAGAAACTTTCTTTTATATAAAGGCAATAGTTCCCACATGTGAAATATGTCCTAATCACACTATTCCAAAACCAGATCGTAAGGGTTAAAGATTCACAAATAAAACTCAATAATAAAATATTTGATTTTATCTGATGGACGTTAGTTCGAAAAATAAAACTTTAGAAAAATATATGTATGCCTTTTGTGATTGGTTGATAACAAAGGTTGAGTTAGGAGAACTTGATATCCTCTAGGGAACACTGTTCAACCTGGAAAAATCGACATGGGAAATTGGGGCAAACTGCATTTTCGTTCAAAATTTTTCCAAATTACGTTTACGCTCAAAGTTTTAAGTTTCAATATTATAAGTAACAGTAACTTAATTTTTATAAAAAAAAGATAAAATTACGGTACTCGATTTAGCCAGCTTCTTTTTTAGCATAAACATACATGTGTTAAGGAAGATTTCGTCACGTGTACTTCAATTGAAAAAAATTTAAACATGTACAAATAAACATGAATATAATGTCCCAATTAAGTTCCTTTGGCAAAAAACCTTGACATATTAATATGATAAAATATTTGTATGTGCAAAAGTAGAACAAAATTATTTTATAAACAACAAACCTCAAACTTCTATTATAAAGTTTCTAACCGCACACATCACCCTTGTTAATGATATTCAGCATTTTTATTATTTATTAATAAAATAAAATGTCCCTCTTTAACATACTAAGAGTGCATGAACTTTGAGAATATATGGAGCAAAAGTTTTCATTTATGGTTTAAATTTGATTTATAATATAAAAATCAAGTCAAGGGTATAAAATAACAATAAAAAGCAGAAAAAAATTTTATAAATACTTCCCATAGGAACAAAAAAAAATTGTGATTAACTTATACACAAAACCTACTTAAGTATATCTACTCTCGTATATACATACATACTCGTATATTATAATAAATGTGGTTAGAATATTTGGTCAATAATTATTTGAGTTGTTTTTTATTTGATGTTCGTTTATCATTTTGTAAAAAGGAGATTTCCGAATCGATTTAAGATTCAACAGATGATTCCGAGAATTCGTTTTTTCTTGAATTAAAATAATAAAGAGAAAAATATAATAAAAATTTAAAAAGATGGCATGCACACAAATTTTATTATTTTGCTTCAGAATTCATTTTACTCTAAGTCCCGTCAATTTACGATAAAACTCTACTGCATTTGTTTTTAATATATTACTCGTATGTTGTAAAACTAATAGGAATATAAGGGTGCGTACAATACTGATTTTAAAGTAAAAGCAAAAAGAAATTGATTTTCAAAAGAGAGGCACTTAATAGTTTTAATATTTTGTAATATACAAGGTGTTTTTTATTAAGGGTGCTTTAATTTCAAGTATTCAATTGATTTCCCTTTGGAAAACATTTTTTAAATTTCTCATTTTTGAATTCCTGAATCTTATATTAATGCCAACCACTTTTTTACATGTATACATTTAAAACACACTTGCGCATTCCGAATCACTTTTTGAATTATGTTTTCAAGTAATAGGTTTTGGTTGTAAAAGGTTGAGTCAGCTTAATGTTAGAGAATTAGAATTTAATAGCGTTCTAACTATTCTAGTGGAAAAAGAGCCTTTACAAATAGTTAGAAATATAGAGATTAAGCACATTTCCTAAATGGTTAATAAATTTATCCGTCTGTGCGTTGTTCATTCTTTTTCTGCTCACTTTGACATAAAAAAGGAGCTAATTTAATTCCTTAAGAGTAGAAATTTATATAGGAGTAAAAGTTATTGTTGGAGAAGATTTTATCTATCACCAAACCCAAAGAACATGTTCTCTATTTAATAAATGCCAGTATTCCATTACTAGTTTTAATGCCTAGTTTGTTAAATTAATTGTATTTTAAATTTTATGAGCAGCAATATTTTTGCAATATTGAACTTTTTTTTTCATTTCCTTGTTGATCAAAATAAAGAAAATTATTTAAGGATAAAAGAACATTTAATTTACATAATGTACTTGAAATGAACATTTTCATTTTGAATCGGAGCAACGCTTAGGTGAGCACTGCAATGGTAATAATTAACGAAGTATGAAAGAAAAATGAATCCCTCTTTTGAAGATGATTATAAATGAGACAAATTTAGAGTTTCTGTAGAGCAACAATTAAAGTTATTTTTTTTTTTCATTTTGAATATTCAAATAAGAATTTATGTGTGTGTGAAATACATGTCAATACTATGAATGGGATAAGAAATTTTTGTATGTATAGTTTTTTTCCAATAAAGTAAAAAAAAATGAAAATACATTTGTTGTGGTTTTCTCTAATTTGCATTTCCGTTTTTTTTTTAAAGATCGTATGGAAAAATACAAAAAACAAAAAAATATAAAATGGAAATATTTCGCATGTTTCTATATGCTACAATTTCAAAAATAATGGGATTTAATCTATCAAGTTAAATATTATATCGGTACTTTTATTCTGACTTGTACATAGTCTTGCACGTTACACTTGTATGCGTGTACATGCATTTATTAAAATATCAAAAGGAAAAATGTTCCGATTAAAAGTGGTAATAAAGAAATATTTTTGGTCTTTTGAAAGGAAAAAAATAAAAAGGATCTCTTCCTCTTTTCAATTTTCTATAAAATATTCCCATACATTCATGTAACAAGAAATACACATAGTTAGGATATGCAATGGATAAAAAACCAAAAATAAAATAAAAGAACAGTCAAATAATTTGAGGTTAGGAATAAAATAAACCGCAACGTCATTTGTTTGATTAAAAGGAAAAAAAAAGTAAAAACAGTTTAATTAGGTTTTTGTATTATTTTTAGCCTTATATATTTATAAAAAATTTATATTTTAATTAAATATTATTGAAAAAACTGTAAATTAGTTAATCCAGTTAATTTATACTAAAGAAAGAAATACACTCTTCAGTTTTCGGAATATTAATACAATCAATTTTTCAATGCCTTATTAAAAATTCAAGGTAAAATGTGTGTAATTATAGAAAAAAAAATGAAATGTTTTAATAAATTTCATAAAATAAAAATAGGGTAAATTTATAAATAATTGTGAATGTATTGGTAAAATTTAAATGGACGAAGCCATTTTTATAAAAGTTATTCATTTTGTTCAATGGAATTAAGGCACAAAACGTTATTGCTTTAGTAGGATAAAAAATTCGGATCAAACTAGTGATTTGTAGAATGACACTTCTTCCTTGAACAAGTGAATATACTTTTTTAGAAAACAATGGCTTACAGAGCTATTTAAATTAATTTCATTAAATAATTTAAATTATTGCATACATTTAGGGTGAGAAAAAAAAAATTGAAACAAATGTTAATATAATGTTTGAGTTCAAGGCCAAATTGTGTGAGTTAAGATAAATAATTATATTTTTTGTGGGCATGGCAATTGTTGGTTTTATAAAAATTAGAAAAACTTGTGGTATCCACAATATAAGTTGGTCAAAATTCAAAGTTTATGAATTTCGAGAAGATATAAGTTGTGAGAGAATGGAAGAAATATACTATTTATTAGTGTCTATAAAAGCCGCTGGATTTCTATAACTTACCTTTTAGAAGAAAAATGACATCAAAAATTTGAAACAGAGCAGGTTTAGATAAAAGTTAACTATGCTGGTTTAGATAATAGTTAAGTTGTTTTGAATCAATAAATAGTCCAAGAATCGCATTTTTAGGACTTTGAGGGGCTCTAACTTTAAGAAAGGAGATAGGTAAAAACTGTTTTAGATAAAAAACAAAAACAGTACAGAACGAATCTACTAAGCACTTTTTTCTATTTTTTTCTTTTGAAAAAGGACTAAAAACGGTAAAAAATACCTAAAAGGAAAAAAACGCTTATTAGAAATTAGTGTGACTAAGAATGTACATATATAGCGTTGTTAACATCAGATTAAATTAATTGGGTCAAAACTTTTATTACTTTGTATGTACATAAAATGTATTAAAGAAATTTTAGTTAGTATCTAATTTTTTTTGTTTTAATGATTTCTTAAATTGAAATGTGATCATACTCACTTGTTTTTGATCTAGGTTCTCTCGGACCATCTACTGTAACCTTAATTGCCTTATTGTATGTTGTTACTTGTGGCGGACTTGTTGATATTGTTATTGTTAATGTAAAACTTTTACCTAAAAAGAAAAATTAAAGCTCAAATGAATTTTTTAATAAAAATTAATTCGTATAAAATGAACACCATCGCAACATTTCTGTTGTTTAAAGTAAGAAATTTTACAAAATAAATTATTTTGAAAAAATTACAAGAAGAAAGGAAAAAATGAGTTATTAAAGCGTTTTTGTTCCAAATTTTTATCTTATGTCCATTATTATTACTCTACATTTTCATCAAATTAATCATAAAGCGTGTAAACAATCTGAACCTACCGACAAAAGATTGTTTTTCTACCAATTTGAATTCTGTGTCTTTCAGTAACATAATTATAAAAATTTTTTTTTACCCTTCAACGCTTTTAAAGAATGAAAGGTATTTGATAAATTTATGGAACACAAAAAATTCAACAAAATAAAAAACAAATCATCGTGTAGTTCAATGTTTTTTTTTTTGAAGTTGTTCGTTTATACTCGTAGTCAGTAAAATTAGTGGAAATGCATCTTTATTTCAAACGGCCTAACAATTTAGGATTATGAAAATTTAGGAAAAATTGAATATTTTTATACATACACTTGTAATGAGCGCACTTTTACAAAAAATAAAAGACAATCCTAATAATTTATTATCATAAGGAAATTTGGTTTCATAATGCATAAGAATTTGAATTTATGAATTTTTTGTATTCTTTGACTTTACACATTAAGTTATTTTGTGAATTGGTAACCCTAAGACAATAATACTGACTGATAAAATTAATAATTTACATTTAAAGCTTGTTGAGCTTACATTTAAAGCTTGTTGAAGTAGAATCCGGTTTTTATTATGAATGGAACTTTAATTATGTACTTAGATTGAGCCTTTATATCGGATAATACAAAATATCAGGAATTTTATTGTTCGCTCAAAGGCAATTTAGAAACTCGAATTAGGAAAGTGAACACAAATACAGCTGTAATTATTTATCTAGTTGATAATCACAAATAGTATTTAGCAAGTAATAGTAAGCAGTTACCACAATTTATAACTATGGTTAGATTTCAAGTCATTTTCAAAAGAAAGCAGTGTATATAATTAATTAGGGCTAACTGTATTCAGTTCTTTTGTTTCCACTTTACCCACATTCATGTTGTACAAATATTCATATTAAACTATGTTGAGTGTTATTCAAATAAACTAATTAACATCAAGTTTATTTGTTAATTGTAAAAAACAAAATCAAGTATTACAGTTGTATAAAGTTTTTAAAACAATTTGGAGCCAAGTCTTTGGACATTATATTTGTACAAAATAATTGCTAATATAATAATTAATAATAACTATATGTATGAAAAATTAAAATATAAGAATTTATCCTGATATCCTGGCAAATTCTGATATTAAATAGTCTTAAAATATGGTAGGAGTACGAAATTATCGCGAAATTTTATAAAATAACCAAACAAGTAAACACGAACATGCCACAAACATAATGTGCATTTACCTTTTAATAGTACAGTTCTTTATTTTACTATTTTAGTAAATTTTTGATTTTATTATTAACTAAATAAAAAAGTCAAAAATTAAATGTATTCAGCTATATTCACACTGTATACCGTTACAGATTAACATTAAAGGACACATAGGATATTATTGTGGGAGTAGTACTACTGACATTTTAAATAAAACTACGTATATGCAAATTCTAATTTCATAAACTTACTATATGCATACAAATACACGATATAAAATTATCCAAGAAATTGTAAAAATATTTATTTAAAAAGAGATTACATTCTGATTCAAAAGGACGCAAGGACATTGAATATAAAACAACAGATAATATTTTTTGGGTACAATCTACATTTAAAATATAAAATTACATAAGTCTGTATTCGCGAATTTTTATTTTTATGCAAGGATATGCGCAATATGATGCAAAAATGCCTTTGACTGAATAAAAGTTATGATTATATCAATTTCAATAAATTGTATAACAACATATCGTCAACAGCATTCGTTATTATAGCCCCAGGATACATTTTACATATATTGTTGTTGTTATTATTATTTTTTGGATTTTTTGAAAATTTTTTTTTTATATTTGTTTATTACACATGTACTTTTGTTTATTTGTCGCGGCTTTGAAGGGACGTATGTTGAGGCTGCCCAGTTTCCGTGGTTTGATGTTGAATAAAAAGAAAAACAAAAATTGGAGAAAAAATAAATAGTAAATGGTGCAGGCACAAATATAACGGAATGAGTATAGAAAATAAGTTTAATAAATTTTTTTTTTTTTTTAAGAGAATTAATTATTAAAGGACGTTAAATTTATGAGGTTAACAGTATGTTTTACTTGCATCCTTTTTTTTTAACTTGACCGCTGTATATGTAGAAATTTATGTTTAAATATTGCATGCGTTGTCCTTATTATTTTTCTTCATATAATTTGGTCGTATACGATTTTTAGAAAAAGGAATATTATTTTTTGTTTTATTTTGTTGGTAAAATAATGTAGAACAAAAAAGTTAAATTTTTAATCTATAAAATTTATGAAATTTTATAAACTGGTCAGTTTAAATTTTTGTTTTTATTGGTAAAATATGCAAGTAATCGATTTTTTTCCAAGGATGTTTATAGTAATATTACAATAACTTTTTCGATCAATTTAAGGCAATATAATACGCTTAATGTATGAAATTGTAGGTGTATAACACTTCCAATTACACTTGTCTGTACAAGGGATGAAATAAAACGAAAAAATTATTGAAAGATACGTTAAAATAATGCTCGAATTTAAGGTTTATTTGTGTTAGTAGTTTAGAAAAACTAGTGATATTTTTTAAAAGTATGGCATTAGCCGTCAGCTTTCTGCGTTTTTAGAAATTTATAAAAGCTTGCATTTTTGGAAATATAAGATGCCAAAAACTAAAATTTTACATTTTTTCGGGTGGCGATAACTTGAGAGGTGGAGGTGGAAAAAGATTTTCTTCTAACGAACTGAACTATTTACTAGTGTCTAAAAGGTGCTAAAATTTCAGACTACTACAGCCTAGACCTCAGTAGAAGAAAAACAATATCAAAAATTTAGAAAAGGCGGATTTTAGGTAACGGTAAATTTTAACGGTCATTTTATTGTTGTAAAATTTAAATTTGATATTTTAGAAGAAGACTGCCACTAGCTTTCTGGGTTTGCAAAATTTGAAAGATGTTTGTGGCTTTGCTGCAATAAGTAGTTGAAAAATGGTATTTTTAAGACTTTACGGAGTTATAACTTTTAGGAGGAGTGGGGGGGAGATAGATAAGAATTTTCTTCCACGAAAACAAGTCCTTAGTAAAGATCTATGTAAGTGTGAAATTTAAACCTTCTATCCTCACAGGTGTAGAGGTACCTTAATATATTTCCTTAAGCCAATGAAATGAACATTAAACAGAAATGAAAACTCTAATACTGTGTGTCTTACAGCGAAAAATACATTTCTGTGAATTTAATTTGTGTAATCAAAGACAATCTTATAGAAAATGCTACATGACCGTCTATCATTTACGTCAATTTTTGAAAAATATTGACTGAAAATTACGCGAAAATCAAAATAAAAATTCCAAATTCGTAAACACAAATCTCTTAATTGAATAATATTGCATACCCTATTAAATTTTCATTTTCAAATTCTTGTACACTTAAGAAACCTACATTTTATCAAGTATATTATCAAGTATATGCCTACATTTTACAATATATGCAACTATACACCTACGAAATACGTACATACCTATACACCATAACCATTGTAATAAACTTTAGTTATTATTTAAAATTTCATTGATGTTCCCGTCCAACACCCATGCCTATTAATTTTTTTACACATAAATGTATGTGTATATTTAAGTTTAAACGAGAATACTAAAGTTTATATATGAATATTGATTTCAAAGAAAAAATCTCCACTTAATATTCCTAACTCTTTGAAACATTCAACTTTGTATTTAAATTTTATGTTCGAAAACTGGTAGCAAAATTACTTCAAAAGAACATACATTTTCATAAATTTTACAGTTTATTTGTGGAGAATGTCAGTTGAAATTATCCTTAAAATCCTATAGTAATATATCACCACACCTTATTTTAAATACAGTGTTGCCGATGTATTTTAAAATGTAGACATCAACTACAAAATCAAAAATCAAAATAATATTGTAAGGATCTAAATAATATTTATTTATACTGCTAGTGGCATAAATCCCTCTTTATAAAGCAATGATTTTCAATTGAAATTGCAAACTTCAAAATAAATTAATTCAGAATTATTACTAATTTTAATTTTAATATTAAAATTTTAAAATAATATACAAAAATATCACTATAATCAATAATCATATAGAAATTTTGAAGATTTTGTAATACGTAGTAAAACATGCTTTGATTCTAGTAAAAACGGTAACACAGTAAAATTAAAGTTCCTTTGAAGCAAGAGAAATATTGCATAAATTATTTTACAATCTTCAGTTTGCTACTCAAGAAGTAGATATATTGTATGCTAGTATTTGATAAATGTATATGTATATATATGTTTTGCATGCAATATGGTAAAGAATAATAATTTTTTGAGAAGTCATGTAATAAATAGTATAGTTGTATAAGGTTTTTAAAAATGAAGATTAAATTTTAAGGATATTTTATGAGTACTTCCTACGTGCAATTACATTAAGAGTATTTACTATCCTTAAATTTTGAAGGCAATCTGTTGAATTTAACTTGTTGAATTTATCTTTGGAGTTTATTGTTTTGAATTACAAATTATGACGATTTTACAGATTTAAGTATTTCAAATATATTAAAACTTAAATATATGTATAAGAGAGTTTCTGTGTTGAATTTCTTTAATTTGAATAAAATTTTTTGTACTATTTTTTAAAAGGAAAATAAATTATGTGATATAAATGTGAGATTTTAAAATTAAGAATTTTAAGTGATTCTCAAGATTATAGCTGTGACAAACTAATATGTACTTGTTAATATCCCCCTATAATTAATTATGTTAA